GTAACAAAAGTGAGTGGAAGACTTAGGGGAATTTTTATCTCAGCTGCAAAACCAGGAATGGGCATGATGGACTAACAGGGACCAAATACATTCTCCCACCTTAAGCAACCACAAAAAAGCCAGACAGAGGTGTAAGAAAAGGGATTTTAGAAACCAGGCAATCGGCACTGCAAGACAGTGATCTCAGAAACAAGGGAAGCCAATGAGATGAATGACCCTGAAAACTGCCCCAGCTTACTGGCAGAGTTTTCATGCCACAGTAGGGTGACTAGGCGGGGGTGGGGAGATGGCCAAGATGGAGCCCAGAAGTACCCCTGAGTTGAGAAGACAGACCTGATAACTGGAGAAAGCCAAGGCAGCTGGAATTTGCGAAGCAGAAGATGGGAGAGAAGAGAGCTCCACACATGAAGGGGACAGAATCATGAAAGCTGCAAAAGGCCCCCTCTGGTCTTCACCAGAATCCACCTAGGCACATGTGTCAAAAGTACCCCAAGCAAGGGGAACACCCACCGGAGAGGAGCAGGTAGAACAATCCACAGAGCTCACACAAGGCAGAAAATAGTTGGTATTGCCACCGGCTGGCAAGGTTTGGAAAACATCATGTAATGTGTCAGGAATTGGGCAGAGTATTCAGTACTGGGGAAAAAATGAGCTTTAGCCTAAAGGCTGTTCTGGTTCCACCCAAGAAAGCATAAAAGCAAACCTCAGAAAAAATCAAACTATTTCCAAATGACATAATTACATCCCAGAATAAAGCTCAAGAAAATTTTTAGAAACCAAAACCATCCAGCACCCAATAAAGAAAAACTTAAAATGTTCGTCATCCCCCCAAAATTGTCAAGCATGCAAAGGAGACAGACAGGACATAACAAACCCACAATGAGGAGAAAAACCAACCAACAGAAACAGACATGGAAAGGATACAGATGACATGATTAGTAGACTGAGGGCCTTAGAACAGTTAATAATAACTATTTCCCATAGGTTCAAGAAAGTAATGAAAGCACAGGCATGGTAAGGAGTGACATGGTAAAACCACACAGAACAAAACCAGCAGCAGTCCTTCACTCCAGCTCCTCATTCTCTGATAGTCATTAAGGTAATTAGTTACTAATTCCCTTTAAAGAAAAAGTAGGGGCATCTTTATTTTTTAAAATACTGTGTGGGTAGGTGTTGCCCTGGTATCCAAAAAAAATTATTTTGTGGCTTGATTTGTCAAAGGCTTTCATCTCAGCAAATTTTGGATTGCAATAGGCCTGAGGTAAGAATTTGCAACCTCAGAACTGCTCATGCAAAGGAAATAAGTGGCTAGAGGTTCTGGAACATCTCACTAAATGCCAACTTCTCTTTTTTCTTTTCCTTTTTTTTTTTTTTTTTTCCCTCCTTTCATTTCTCCTTTCATATTTTGATACTGTTGTTGCAAAGGGTATGAATTTCAATAATACACAACATGAACTCAAAGTATTACATAGACTGTCTTGACATAGACTGGCAGAATTGTTACAGCCCCAATTTTTTTTACATTATTCTACTGTGGTTAAATATATATATATATACATATATATATTTTTTTTGACATTTTAGTCATTTTTAAGTGGCATTAATTATATTCTTAACATTGTGGATTAATTTTCCAAAACTATTTCATCACCCTAAACAGAAACTTTCAAACGATTAATTAATAACTCCCAACACCTCACATTCCCCCACTCCCATGACTGGTCCCTGGGAACTCCTATTCTACTTTCTGTCTCTAGGAATTTGCATATTCTATACTCCTTTATATAAGTGGAACCATACAATATTTGTCTTTTTATGACTAGCTTCTCTCACTTAGTATAATGTTTTCAAGGTTCATCTATGTTGTAGCATGAATGAGAACTTATCCCGTTTTTATGACTAAATAATGTTCCGTTGTCCATATATGCCACTTTTTGTTTATCCGTTCATCTATTGATGGACATGGGTTGTTTCTACCTTTCGGTTAGTGTAAATAATGCTGCAATAAAAATTGGCATAGAGATATCTAACTATTTTCAATTTGATTGGGTATATACCTAAAAGTGGAATTGGTGGGACATATGATAACTACATATTTAGTTTTTTGAGAACCTGCCAAGCTGTTTTCCACAGTGCCGCACCATTTTCCATTCTCACCATCATGTACAAGGGTTCTAATTTCTCTATATCCCTGCCAACACTTATTCCTCCCCCACTTTTTTTTTTTTTATCATAACCATCCTAGTAGATGTAAAGGGATATCTCATTATGGTTTTGATTTGCATTTCCCTAATGACCATGATGAGGAGACTCTTTCATGTGCTTACTGGCCATTTGTATATCTTTTTTGCAAATGTCTATTCAAGTCCTTTGCCCATTTTTGAATATTAAAAACACTTACCGGTTCTATGATTTGCGAATATTTTCTCCCATTCTGTAGGGATTTTTTTTCACTTTTTGATAATGCCCTCTGAGATACACAAATGCTTTTAGTTTGGATGATGTCCAATTTTCCTATCATTTTCTGTTGTTGATAATGCTTTGGCGGCCATATCTGAGAATCCACTGCCAAATTCAAAATCAGGAAACTGACCCACGTTTGCTTCTAAGAGTTTCACGATTTTAGTTCTTGTACTCAGGCCATCGATTTATTGTGAGTTAATTTGTGTACATGATGTGGTGCAGGGGTCCAACTTCACTCTTTTGCATAAGGAAATCAGTTGTCCCAGCACCATCTGTTGAAGACAGAATTCTTTCCCAACTGCATGGACTTAACACTCATATCAAAAATCCGTTGGCTATAGATGTATGGATTCATTTTTGGACTCTCAATACTATTCCAATGGTCTGTAGATCTATTCTGATGCCAGTATCATACTGTTTTGATTACTATCGCTTTGCTTAAGTTTTCAAACTGGTAAGTGTGAGTTTCCCAACATTGTTCTTCTTTTCCAAGATTGTTTTGACTACCAGGGATTGCATGCCATTCCACAGAAATCTGAGTATCTGTTTTTTGTTTTGTTTTGTTTTTCGTTTTTGCAAAAAAGGATGTTGGAATTTTCAGAGGAATTGCCCTGAATCTGTACATTGCTTTGGGTAGAATCTCAATATTAAGTCTTTGTATCCATGAACAGAATATCTTGCCAATTTCTTTTGATCTCATGGAAAGTGAATTCAGGGCAACCAGTCAAAAGATCTCAATGACTATACAATACTGTACTCTTGTCCCCTGACTTAACGTGGCTTTCATTTCTCCACTCTGTGATGAAATTATGATTAACTAATCCTGGAATAATTTCCAGGGTGAGTGAGATCTCGTATTAAAAACAAAAGCTCAGAGGAGCTACTTAAGCATTAAATATTTTTAACAACTTAGGTAAGAAATACTGCTTTATTATTATAATTTATAGTTCTATCACAAAGTTAATGAAACATATAAACACACGAAGAAATATTCTTATACACAGACATACCCACACAGCAAGACTGTTATATTCTTTATTTGTATAATTGATATTAAACCTTATTAGAAGAAGAGGAGGCAATTATCTAATATTAAGAGTATTATAAAAATAATTATATTTTGTGTATTCCACTTAATTCTTTTAAGAATTCAATGTTCCACACATCAAGTCTCATTCTAAATATCTCAGACTTTCCTGAGAGGTATGTCTTGGGACTGTCCACCTTGGATGATATAGAAATGTATGGGAGATTACATGGAATGACTCAATGTCCTGCAGTGGGCTCCAACCTTTTATGCTTATGAACACCCCTCAGTTAAAAAAAGCTTTGAGCACACTCCGAAAATAGAGGTGTTTATAAATTATATACTTGAACTACTCCCAGCTTGTTAAATTAAGTATTAGCAAAGTTTCATTTGTTTTTAGACAAAAAATAATAAGTTCTAGTATTTTTTTCCTGCAACACACCGAATCATCTTGTATCCCAGGATGAAGACAACTGCTTTAGAGTATTAAAAAAGGAGGGAAACAAGGGGCGAAGGTTTTTGCTCCTTATTCTATGCCCTAGCTCTGCTTATTCTTCTTGAAACTCAGAGACTCTGAATTTCTGTCTCTTTCTTGAGAGTACTGTATCAGTTAATCTGTTAATGTTCCTTTACTGGTATCACTAATAAAAATGTCTCCCTACTTCATCATTTTATAAGAAAGTTTCCCAGTGTTGCTTCAGGGTCAAGAATCCTGTTCCGTATCATGTTAGGTTAGAAAACAAGAGAGCCCAGAGGATCAGATGGCTCCCGGGAGCGGCAAAGGAGAATCTGCCCTGTTGGTAGATAGGAGGCTGGAGAGTCGTCAGGGGCAAGTCTGGGGGCTGACAGACCCCTCAAGAGGTATAGTACATTATCACAAGGAATTTTCCTTTGGAAATCAGTCAGGAAATAAAACTCCTTCTCCTGCCACGTAAGTGGCTGGTCACTCATCCCTTCCAACAGAAATAAAATGGCAGAAGGGGATTGTTACCAATCTCACAGGCGAAGAAATTACAAAAAGCCCAAAGTTAAATGATGTCATCTTCCAGTGATAGAACTGTCGGACTACTTTTCTCATTTGCCACACTGATAATAAAAGTATTATCCCTTCCCTTTGTAATCTTTCGTTTCTAAGGTGACACGTACTCCCACCCACTTTTTATGTGTTAAACCACATTTTGGGTCACACTAGAAAACAGAATGAAGCCACCAGGCCAGGCTCAAACATGTGTACTGAGAGAGAGGGAACTGTAATGCTTGCATAGACCAAGTGATGGGACGGGATAGGAGTGTTGGGAAAGTGAGACCTGACCCAAGCGATGTGTGGTCTGGTGGTTTTGTCCGATTTCTTTTTTTTTTATTATGTTATGTTAATCACCATACAATACATCATTAGTTTTTGATGTAGTGTTCCATGATTCATTGTTTGCATATAAAACCCACTGCTCCATGCAGAACTTGCCCTCTTTAATACCCATCACCAGGCTGTCCAATTTTTTTTTAAACTTACATCGCTGAGCCTTTCCCGAGAGCTGCTCCTGTGGAAGCCCTTGGATTCTCCACTGTCACTGTCACTGTCCCTGCAGCTGTTCTGGCCTGGCTTGAGCTAAAGGCAAAGAAAAAAGGAAAAAGAAAAAAGTCAGTGGTCTCCTCACACAACTGCTCTTTGCCCCCGTGTTCTTCCAGTCTTGTCAAAAGTGAACAACTTAAGGTCCTGCATTTTAACATTCTTCTCAGCTTCTGAGTCGTGCCAGGCAGGTGGCCATAGGAAGAAACATGGAGAAGGATAAGCAAAACATTTACCATAAAATGTCAGTGTAAATAAGAGTGAGCAAGCCTTAAAAAAAAAAAAAAAACAACACTTGACAAAAATCTAACAAAGGTCCATGAATCTTGGAAAGTAATTGTCCCTCAGATTTGTCCTCTGTTCCACAGGGAGTTTTTGTCAATAAAAAGACCAAAAACACTGAATTAGCTAAAGTCAGATTACACCAACTATGGTTACCCACCTTTCCTCTGTCCTCCTCTGAAGAAAGAATACAACAAAACAGGACTAAAAAAAAACAACAACAATGTTTTCTTCTCCTAGGAGAAAACGATGAGATGCTGTGTGTTACTCTTTCACCATTGGGAAGACATTGATCCTGATTTCTGAGACAACATTCTGGAGGTCTCTTGACAGATATTTAAGAGTACCCAGATTAAGACCTACAGCTTAAGTAATTAAGCCACAATTCATTCAACAAGTATGTATTAAGTGCCACATCTGGACCAGGTAGTAAGAGCTGGAAATATGATGCTAAACCAAAAAAAAAAAAAGTCTCTGTTCTTATGAAGCTTACATTTTAGCAGTTTCTACACATTTACCCAGCTCTGATTTTCATGTTCAGAAAATTTTACACATTCACCCATCTCTGATTTTCATGTTCAGAGAGTTCTACACATTTACCCACCTCTGATTTCCCATTAAAATGAATAAACACACAGAATTTCAAACCAGTAGTCTATATGGGACTAGGAGACACACACATATGGACCATTAGCCGACATTGTCATCATCAACACAGGCCACCTTTGGAGAGACCCCAAGCAATCTGATGCAGGTTACAACTCATAGCCCTTTTATAACGTTCTCAATCAAGCAAGAGAAAGACTGCAAGACAGGCAAATATAACAACATAAGGAAATACACGATAAATGGAACACCAAAAAGTAGCCAGTGACATTAGGAAGAAAAGTAATCTCTGAAGCCTTGGATTTTAAAAGCAGATTGAGCTCATATGGCTGAGAGGAGAGGGGAAGATACTCTTGATGGGAGAGAGGCAGAAAGCAAAGGCAGGAAAGCAACATGCTAGGAAATGATCAGAAGGAGTCTTATCTGAAACAGAGATTTCCTTCTGGGAGGAAATAGGAAGAAACATTACAGAGGGGTACATGGATCAGACATGGTAAGTCTCAAACAAAACACAAGCCCCATGCTTCTGGGCAGGAGGGAATTTCAGAGAGAAGAACAAGTAATAGGTAGCAAAATTTTTGCCTGCAGGTTTTCATGTGGCTCCGGGGCCAAAGGGGAATGTGAACCAAGACAAATGGAGAATGAATCTGAATCCGCATTCCCTGTCTAATGCGCCTCTTTTAAAAACTGCAGTTCAGATCCCACTTTGGGTCACACCATCTAATAAGCTGCCCCAAATCCCTACTATACAGAGCATTCTTTTTTTTTTGCTTTCAGCCTTTCTACAAATCCACTTTTATCACTTTCTTCTAAAAATCCCTTTCTCCAGAAGTCTTCTCTAATGGAACCCAGAAAAATGATACTCATTTTAGTTTGTATCCTCCTGGGCCCGTAAGTGCTTAGTTTCCTTCTAAATTACTGCTAAATCTGCTAATTCTAAGTTAATTCAGATGCAAGCTATATGAGCCTTTTCTTATTACTATGGAATAAAAGTTCAGAATATTGTCATTCTCCTCAAGTTTTCGTTTTTATACTTATAATAAAGGGGAATTTAATCTAAAATGAAAATCACTTTCTCTCAATTTCCTGAACATGTCATGTCCATTTCTGTCCTGCATCTGTCTATTCACCCTAGATTTCCTCAACCCGTAAAGTTCACCCTCACCTTCTCTGTGCTTTCCAGGTCAAAACTGTTTTGAAAGCTCAGATATGATCCACTATATTCTTTGAAGAGCTAGCTAGCTTGTTTGCTTGCTTGCTTGCTTTCTTGATATGCCTTCAAAGTTTAGGTAATATATCATTCTTCATTAAAGGCCTTCGATAATTATGATACATTTTCAAGTTTGAAAAGGCTTACTGTTAAATAAATCTGACCTATAATAAAACCTATACATGGAGTGGACAATTTTGTAGGCCATGTCATAATTTTTATCTTCCTGGATATCTGAGTTAAGTAAATGCAGATAAAGTTACCTCCGATGTGTGAATGACGAAACAAATAGAGCAAATGATGTGCTCAGAATTAGGCAAGAGGTCTAGGACTCAATCCATGTCTGTACTGCTTACTGCTCTCATTTTACTTCTTCGAACCCGTCTAGATGTCAGCATTTCACGTGGAAATAACAAGTCTGCAGTATATTAGTAATTCTCAATAGAATATGTTTTTAATATATTTGTGGTACGTGATTTCATTCACAAAGAAAGAAATCTTATAAGGTGATATTTGATCAAGAGATGTTTATAAAAACTCAGCCCCTCAAAGCTAGATGAGAAATAAACACCCAGCAGGGAATTAACAGTATAAGAGCATAAAGATTTCTCCTTATATCCATCCACCTGGCTTCCCAAAATCTGGACATTGCATTTGGGTCTCTTCCATGTTTCTTCAGGGAAGGAAAGTGATGACTTCAACAGGCCTGACAAGAGACTTCAGTGGCTCTGATGTATATCATCTGGCTAAATGTTGATCTAGGCTAAGGGCAAAACCCAAGAAGGACTGAGACGAAACAGCTTCCTGGCCTTCCCTGTGCCCTGCCGGCAAAAGCACTTCAGTGAATTCTCTTTGGAGAGCCTTACATAAAATCCACCCGCACACCACCCTTTTCTCCTCCAAAGCCAGGCTCAAGTTTAAAGGAAACTTAGGATTTTAAGCTGTCAGACAGCTCAATATTTCAAAGAAATGGATTGACTACAGTAAGTACTAAAGCTAAACCACAAGATTTCAGGCAAAGAAGTATTCATTCCTAATCCCATGAATACATTTAAAACTGGCATTTTTAGCCATATCCAATGGATCATTTGGGGTAGCACAGCTAACTTAGAAGTTGTAATCCTTCACCTGAAATTCCCAGCTATTACCTACAACCAAGAGACATTACAAAGGCCAGGTGCTGGCTTAAACATTTAAAGACCTAAAGAAAATCGATCTGCCTGCATTGATTTGTCCTAGCATCCATGGCGGCTGTTGTAAGAAAGCTTTTGCTAAAACAGATGCAACGAGATTTCTTACTATCACCTTTTAGATACTTTAAAATACCTTGTTTATTTAAAAATTACTGTAATTCACTCTTATTTCCAGAAGTTTATTCCCCTCAGAATATTATATAATTTAGGCATCCGAATTTAGAACAAAACAGATGAAATAAAAGGAAGCTAGTATCTGGCATGAGTGGTAGTAATCCTATCAGTAAGATTAACAATTTTTATAAAACATAAGAAGCTGGCTTGTTTTCCATTAGATTTCACTGTCAACAATATATTCAAAAACTCTGAAGCTGTGATCTTGTTAGAGTTAACTGTTATTAATGGCTAATTAGGAAAATAACGATCCATGGTTTTATCGCTGCTAATGAACATGTAACGAAATCCCATCACCCTGGACCCAGCGAAGGTGGAGCAGTTCTGTATACCCCTGCCAAGATTTGTGAGCCAGGCTATGCTACTCTTTTCAGCTTCAGTATGGAGAGCTCAAGATGCTAGATGCTCAGTAGGTGTCATTAATTCTTCAAACGAAATTCACAGAAGGATAAAGTATATGGAGAAGACACCTATGTCTGAAACTCAAGAGGAATAAATGTGAATTATGCACTGCAATGCAGAAAAGCATCCAAAAGTAATCTCCTACCACCGTTTTGGTTCCTCAAAGCAGCATAAATCCTATCTCAGACTGCTGAGCTTTCTGCAGGGATCTGAATGGACTCCACACAAGGTTTTAAAAATATGTCAATAAGCACAGGCTTTTCTTTTTCTCAATGAAATTTTGTAACATTCCTAACATCAAAACAGCAAGTATTTAATCTTGTAAAAATGTTGCTTTGTTTTTTCAAAATGAAACCTTCCCTATTTGTTGGAATCTTCCCCATACATTGGGTGGTATTTGTACGATTTTTACATTTTTTTTATTTGAATATAGTTGACACACAATGTTTTATTAGTTTCAGGCGTACAGCATAGCAATTCAACATTTCTATATGTTACTCTATGCTCCCCACAAAGGTAGGTACCTAATCTGTCAACACACAACACTATTATAACACCATTGACTATATTCTCTTTGTTGGATCTTTTATTCCTGTGACTTATTCATTCTAAACAACTGGAAGTCTGTATCTTCCACTCCCCTTCTCTCATTTTGCCCATCCCCTCATCCCACCTTCCTCTGCAAACACTGGTTTGTTTTCTGTATTTAAAGGTCTGATTCTGCTTTTTCTTTGTTTATTCATTTCTTTTGTTATTTAGATTCCACGTATGAGTGAAATAATATGGTATTTGTCTTTCTTAGTCTGACTTATTTCCCTTAGCATAATACCTTCTAGGTCCATCCATGTTGTCACAAATGACAAGACCTCATCCTTTTACATGGCTATATAATAATCCAGTGTGTGAGTGTGTGTGTGTGTGTGTGTGTGTGTGTGTGTGTATCGCATCTTCTTTATCCATTCATCTATCAATAGACGTGTGGGTTGCTTCCGTATTTTGGCTACTGTAGCTGATGTGCAATAAACATACGGGTGCATATATCTTTTCAAATTAGTTTTTATTTCCTTTGGGTAAATACCCAGTAGCGGAATTACTGGATCATATGGAATTTCTATTTTTTTTTTAAAGATTTTATTTATTTATTCATTAGAGACAGAGAGAGAGAGGCAGAG